TGGACAATGCGCTTTTTGGAGGGATCGTAGTATAAACATTGTGTAAATTACCACAAACGTCTATCTCAACCCATCAGCTGCACCACTTCCATCCCCAGCTCCCATCCCCAAGGACACCAACTTTTAACAAGGCCCAGAGCGGCATGGATTCATTATCAGTAATGAACACACCAGGGGATGAGGTGAAGAAAGGAGCACAGGGAGACCCAGGCAGAGACACATGTCCCTATGCCGCGTATTGCTGTGTTAGATGGCTAAACGAGACTCTTGAATAAATGGAGATAGGTTCTAGCTCCCCTTTATGTGGCCTGATGCAACGGCAGTCCTGGTTAGGGTGAGCAGATGACCCAATAATGGGGTCATCGTTCCAATATTAGGGGCTTTGTATTACATACGTGACTATTCACCTGCAAAATACAAGTATCTCAATTAGAAACCCTGCTGTGTAGTGGGAGACTCCAGGAGCACAATCTGTTTAGCTGGACATGGAGAAGGTGAAGGCGTGACTTAAGCCCAGTCTATAGGTAGCTACATAAGGGGTAAATATTTAATAATAGGCCCTTCAGTCTAGCAGAGGAAGGTCTAACCGAGCAATAAACAACCTAGGCTAATGAGTGGGCCACATGCATGGTGCTTCTTCATCTCAGTGAGCCGCAAGTATGTCATAACCAAGACAGTCTCCTGGGACAGGGTAGTTTTAAAAGCTCAATGTGCTTGAGTACCTAGAATTTGCAGGGGATGCTGACTGAACCGTAGCAGCGCTGTGATTTGATGCAGAGGGAGCACACGGCTCTCACAGTCAGAGCTGTGAGCAATCACTGCATGCCTCACTTCATGTTCCTTGCTTTAAGTGCATGTCACTTTAGCAATACCAGCAGGAAAAAAAACCTACTTGGATGGAAACCAGTGGAATCTGCACATGGGCAACAGGAAACAAAATGCCTCACGGACCACCCATTGAACCTTGATGGGCCATGTGCAGCCTATGGTCTAGCCTACCCACTGCTGGTCTAGCCTGATCGAAAGTTGAAGCTGAAGCCCGACAAGTTCAGCACAGGGGAATGAACCATGGGGACAATTGACCAAGGGTCACGGTGGATTTTCCATCAGTAGGGGACAATTGACCAAGGGTCATGGTGGATTTTCCATTAGTGACAATTTTTCCATCAATCAGGGTTGCTTTTCTAGGAGCTCTGCCCCTGAGGGCCATTCTCTGGCCCGTGTGACACAGGGGTCCCACAAAAATCAATGAATAATCTCGAAACTCTCCCAAATCCCAGTGTGACAGAAATCAATGAATAATCTCGAAACTCTCCTAAATCTGAGTGTGACGGAAAGGCAAGAGCAAGATGTGAGGCCAGCCAATTGTTCAGCTCTCAGCCCCAGGGACCAAGGGTGTTTGTCTAAAACTCGCCTTTGGCTCAAACAGGGACGAATCCTGAATTGTCCTAGAGCCTGGGCCATACGGGAGAGAGGTGGATAGGTAGAGGTATTGGGCAGCGCGATCCCAATGGGCCTTTCTGGCCTTGGCGTGTATGAGTCCGTGTTAATTGTAGGTGGCACCTTCCCTATACCTCCCTCACTTCATGGCCACATGTAGACTGGTTTTGTAGGAGCCATTTCCCTTCATTCCCCCACTATATAGGGATGTGAGTGTACCCCTCCCCCCACCATATACGGCTGTGTATACGTACCCACTCCCCCACCCTACAGGGCTGTGTTTATTCCCCCTCCACCATCATATAGGACTGTGAATGTGTCCCTCCCCCACTATATTGGGCTGTGTACATTCTCCACCATGCAGGGTTATGTTTACTACCCCCCCCATCTGAGTGGGGGGGAGGGGGAGAACGACCTGCCACTCTGGGCTTCGAACAGACTATTGAGATGGACAATTATCCTTGGACACAGGCTTTAGCCTCCTCCCCACTCCCATCCTGGGGGTCTGATGGAGGAGCCATTCACACAACAGGTGTACATGGGGGATGGGGGGAGCATTGTCAACATATATTTCTTGACAGGGAAAAATACTTCCAATGGACATGCCCAGATAATTTAATCTCTGCACCTGCCTGCCTGTGAAATGGTCTCTTCCATGGAGGAGAGAAGCCCTAAAGTTCCTATATGTTGGAATGAACCATTTCACTGGGTGGAGAGGAGTGAAAGTAGAAGAGAGATGAAACGTCAAAGGCCATAACTCTCACTTTTTGTAATGGATGGAAGGGGTCTGGCCAACTGTCTTAACTGCCACTTTGGAAGGTCCTATTTTCGCTCGTGGGGAGGAGTCTGGCCAATAGCCTGAACTGCCATTTTGGAAGGTCTCATTTTTATTCTGTGAAAGGGTCTGGCCAAGAGTCATAACTGCCACTTTGGAAGGTCTCATTTTTATGGTAGGGACCAAAGTTGTCCCTCCTTTGACTTCTCCTTTTATTTCCCAGTACAAATGAGTTGCTTATTACACTCCAGATATTGTTTGTTACTACACCTATACCATGAATTTGCCAACTCAAATAAAACATTCTTGACTATTATCCTGTCCTTCCGTCCTTATTGTACTCCTGTACAACCTCTTAGGCATTTGTTTGTGTAGTTACAGGTGATCCCTGAGTGTTTTTGTACCATCCTCTCCAGTCAGGAATGAGTTCATTTGTTTAGCCAGTATTTGATGTGTTACCTTATTACTAATGCCTACTCTGGTTTTCCATGGTTCGGAGGGCAAGAGATCCAGCCCAGCTCAGAAAAGCAGCAGATAGAGCCCCCAAAGGAGCCAATGTAAATTTACTCCCCAAAACAATAGAGTGAGGAATCCTCAAAATCTTCTTGCGATTTAAACCCTGCCCCAGCGTGGAAGGTGGAGAAAGCTGAAATCAGAGCCCAGAAACTGAAGAGGCAGTGACCAAGAGAAGGAGAAAGATTTTGTCAGTGTCCTAAATATAAGGAAAGGGTTGATTATATTTTAAACTTTAATACATATTGTAGGATTCTCCAGGAGAGATGCCCTATAGATGTGTTGAGTGTGGGAAAGGATTCAATTGGAGCTCATACCTTAGTCTCCATTGGAAAATTAACTCAGGAGAATGACCCTGAGAGGTGTGAATGTGGGGGAAAATTTGGTAGGAACTGAACGCCCACTAAGCCCCTGAAAATCTGTACAGGAGAGAGTCCCTATCGGTGTGGGTGACTGGGAGAGGATCCTGGGAATGGTCAGACCTCATATGGGGGGGTGCACGCAGGAGCAAGTGTGTTCCCATGCACCCCCCAAGGCAGAAGGGGCTAGCCCATGATGCTGGTGCAAGGTTTTGGGAAGAAGAGAGAGGGCATAGGATGAGTCCAGATTGGGTACCAGTAGTCCCCCATTTATAGGGAGCTCCCGGCACACATAGTCAGACCAATGGCTCTTCTAGCCCAGTTTCCTGTCTTCTGACAATGGCCAGTGCTAGGTGCTTCAGAGGGAATGAATAGAAGAGGGCAATTATCCAGTGATCCATCCCTTGCCATCCAGTCTCAGATTCTGAAATCAGAGCCCAGAAACTGTAAAGGCAGTTTAGAGACACCTGGAGCCTGGCCTTGCATGCTTGAACATCTTGTCTAATAATCATTGGTGGACTTATCCTCTGGAAAGAGACCCCATAAGAATCCTGAATGCAGGAGAGGTTGAACCTTGGTCACCAAGAATAAATGATATCAGGTGTATTTAGGGCATAGAGGCGAAATACAAGTTTTAATTCATGTTGTAATGCAGGGCCTCAGGGCCTCAGGTTAGTATGATATTTAGCTTAGCAAAATAAGGCTTAAAGCCTAAAGACATGGCATAGGCCACTACCCAGGAAGCAGTGCTTAATTTGTGCCAGGGCTTGCCTCAGCTGAGCCCCGGCACCTTTAGGTTTGGCAGCTCATAGCCCACTGCCTCTGTTGTTGCTGCATCAGTCAATGTTAAAAACTTGTTTTAGTCCTGGCACTTAACTGCTTGCATCCTGGCACTTCTTTCATGACTAATTAAGCACTGCCAGTAAGTGACCTTAGATCATAAATAGACAAAAGATAACAATGTCCCTATAGCAGAGATGGCATAAGGTAGAAAGCTGCATTAAGTGCTGTTCAACTGCTGATATTTAGGAAAAGTACACTGAAATGTCCCTGTTAAAGATGATTTGAGTATTTGTGGGCAGCGGTTTGAGGATTGAGGGGGTCAGCAATCTTCAAAGCACAAGTCATGGTGTTGATTGAGTGTATGAAATGTGCATGAGTAGAAGAGTCTTGGAGAAAAGTCAAGACAGAGGCCGGAGACCTGATGAACTGAACTTCATTACACAGCGCTGTGGAGAAATCACAAGGGGATTTCTACTGGACGCAGCCAGGTGAACTCTTTTATACAGCGCAGTAAACAACCTCTACTTGACATGCCCGAACTTGTTGCTGGGCAGGATACAGCAGCTATCATGTTTGGCAGAGAGCCAAACATGTTACAGTTTTTTTCTTTTCCCACCTAAACATGCTTATCCTGCCACCACTCAGTATTCCCCTGTGACCTGCCCCCACTTATGTTAAGGGCCTGCTTCCACAATTGATATATGGACGAGGGTTAAATGGCAGCGCCCAGGGGGACCATTGTCCCCATGGCTCTCTTAAAGGGAGGTCCCCCTGCCCCCACCTGTCTGTCCTGCTGCAATGGAGACAGGACAGACAGACCACATCGGTCCCACCCCTGCCAGGTCAGGGCTGTGCAGCCCCTCCCCACCCCAGCCCCGGGGTCTGAGTAGCCATTGGGGACAGGGCAGTGGCCTGGTCAGATGCCATAACTGCCACTTTGGAACATTCCATTCTCACTGGAGGGAGAGATAGGATCAACAGCCATAACTGCCTCTTTGGAAGGTCCCATTCTGCTTGTGGGGAGGGAGCTGGCCAGCTGCTATAACTACCAGTTTGGAAGGCCCCATTCTCATGGGTCTTTGGCTGACACCGACTGAGACCAGAAAAAAAATCCTGCAAAAATTATATATTGTTGAGAGACTAAAGAAAATGTGGTCTCCAAGTTGAGCTGTGGCTATTTCTTACCACTCCCTCCCAGTGACATGGTTTATCCCAGTCATTGGTGCTTCTCTTGCTCCTGGAAGGAACCATTTTTTTCTGGGGAGGATGTTTTTTTAATATCAGGGGAAGGCCATCAGATTTATTTTGACTGTCAGAAAAATTCATTAAAAGTTCTCCTGTTGCATTATTGGCTCCTTTTCAATCTAGAGGAGAGGTTAAAAATCCCAAATCCAGAGGCCCTGAACATAGAGAGGGGAAGGGGAGTGAACTCACCTTATATAGTGGGGGAAGGGAGCTCAAGGATCCCTATATGGTGTGGAAGGAAGTAAATCCAAGCCCATAGGGGAGGGGCACGACTCCTGCAAGATTTGTCTATGGGTATGTCTACACTAGCCCCCTAGTTCAAACTAGGGAGACTAATGTAGGCATTCGAAGTTGCAAATGAAGCCCGGGATTTAAATATCCCGGGTTTTATTTGCATGTTCCCAGGCGGGCATCATTTTTAAATGCCCCGTAGTTCGAACTGATTGCCTGTGGCTACATGCGGCAGTCAGAAGTTAATCCACAAGTTAATTCGAACTAATGACTTAGTTCGAATTACCGTTTGACTGCTGCGTGTAGCCGCAGGCAGTTAGTTTGGACTAGTGGAATTTCAAAATGGGGACTGGACAGGAACATGCAAATGAAGCCTGGGATATTTAAATCCCGGGCTTCATTTGCAACTTCGAATTCCTACATTAGCCTCCCTAGTTCAAAGTAGGGGGCTAGTGTAGACATACCCTATGTGTGTCCGTGAATCAAGGTAGTTCTTAGTAAATGTGCCACTTTTAGGGTAGCCACTTTTGGTTGGCTGTATTCTTGGATGTCTCTTCACATGGCATAAACTTTAAAGATTCATCTTTAATTACTGGAGTCTCCCAAGCAATGCTGGAAGGTTGGCCACCCTCACCACTTATTGTTAACAGAGGTTCTTAGAAATCAAAGTCAGACGGACCATTCGGCTCATCACATCTCACACACACACAGATCCTAGGATTCATTCCTCTCTGAACTAGCGCTAAACTTTTAGACAAACATCCTTGAGCCGTAGGGTTGACCGATCACAGCCGGCAGCGCATCGTGCCTTTGCCTTTCTGTCGCACATGGAAACTTTTGAGATTTATTCCTATATTCATAAATGGGGCCCCTTTTGTCACACAGGCTAGAGAACAGCCCCAAGACAATTCCTACAGCAGATCTCCCAGAGAACCAACCCAGCTTGACCGAAATTTGGTCAGGGATGGAATATCCACCACAACCCTTGACCTTACAAATGTACACCTTATTTCCAGTCTGAGTTTGTCTAACTCAATGTCTCACCATTGGATGGGGCAAGTCCTTCTGCTGCTGGATTATACAGCCCATTATTAAGCATTTATCCCCTACGTAGATACTTATGGATTGGGCGCAAGTCACCTCTTCCCATTCTCTGAACAGACTGAGATTCTGGAGTCTTTCATTTTACTTCAGATTTTTTAATCTTTAATCGTGCTCAGAGGGCTTCGTTGAGCCCTCTCTGACAAATTGCCCTTGTCTTCAAATTGTGGGTCCCAACACTGTGGTTGCACCAGGCCAAAACCAGAGCTTTTAGAACCCATCTATTCCTGAGTACCCACCAAACACAGGAATGTGCAACATAAACACAACCACCTCTACCTGGGTCCGCCCATGCTCCCATCTCCAATGCATCCACCGGTATGTTCATTACTCCATTGGATGGGGCAAGTCCTTCTGCTGCTGGATTATACAGCCCATTATTAAGCATTTATCCCCTACGTAGATACTTATGGATTGGGCGCAAGTCACCTCTTCCCATTCTCTGAACAGACTGAGATTCTGGAGTCTTTCATTTTACTTCAGATTTTTTAATCTTTAATCGTGCTCAGAGGGCTTCGTTGAGCCCTCTCTGACAAATTGCCCTTGTCTTCAAATTGTGGGTCCCAACACTGTGGTTGCACCAGGCCAAAAACAGAGCTTTTAGAACCCATCTATTCCCGAGTACCCACCTAACACAGGAATGTGCAGCATAAACACAACTGCTAATAAATAACTTTTCTTTATCAGCCCTCTCCACACCACTCATGATTTTATAGACCTCTATCATATCCCCCCTCAGTCTCCTCTTTTCTAAACTGAAAAGTCCCAGTCTCTTTAGCCTCTCCTCATATGGGACCCGTTCCAAACCTCTAATCATTTTAGTTGCCCTTTTCTGAACCTTTTCTAAGGCCAAAATATCTTTTTTGAGGTGAGGAGACCACATCTGTACACAGTATTCAAGATGTGGGCGTACCATAGTTTTATACAGGGGCAGTAAGATATTCTGTGTCTTATTTTCTATCCCTTTCTTAATAATTCCTAGCATCCTAGGAATTATTTGTCTTTTTGACCACCACTGCATACTGTGTGGAAGTTTTCAGGGAACTGTCCACGATAATGCCAAGATCTCTTTCCTGATTTGTCATAGCCAAATTAGCCCCCACCATACTGTATGTATAGTTGGGGTTATTTTTCCCAATGTGCATTACTTTACACTTATCCACATTAAATTTCATTTGCCGTTTTGTTGCCCAATCACTCAGTTTGGTGAGCCTTGTTCCACGCTGCTCTGAGCCTTGTTAGGAGCTGGTATCCTCAGAGACGGGATGGGGTGGAAGCAGAGCAGCTGATGGGTTGTGGTGGGAGTTTGTGGCAATTAACAGGATGCTTATCCTACGATCCCACCAAGTCAGATATTGTCCAGGGGATGGAGTTCATAGATCCGCCCCAGGTATGCAATTGCAGGTCTGTAAGATGTCTGGAGTCATTAAGCACCTGCTGACTATAAAGAAAGAGCCAAAAAGGTTGTTGGCTAGATTTTGATCACTTTGCTCAGGCCTGGCCAATGCTAAGCAGTTGGTCCACCCAACTATGTCAGCTGAGGGTGTGAAAAGCCTACACTCCAGAGGGACGTAACTAAACCCACCTAATCCCCAGCACAGCCAGAGCAAGGTTGATGGAAGAACTACTGTGTGGTACCTAGCTACTGCCTCTCAGGCAGGTGCATTTCTGATGCTCACCCATCAAACTAGGTTGGATTTCCACTAATGAGTTACACCAATGCTGTTGCAGACCCTAAGAAGCCTCCTTCCCTATCCCTTAGTTCTCAGCCACCCTCCTCCAGTCCCTGTCTCAGTTCCCCCACATGTGGCGCCTGCCCAAGAGCTGCTTAGCTAGGGCCCCCTTGACATCGGTGTTGCGAAGGCTGTAGATGACGGGGTTGAGGGTGGGGATGGCCACGGTGTAGAAAGCGGCGGCCATCTTGTCGGCCTGCGCGGAGTAGCTGCCTTCGGGCCGCAGGTACATGAAGATGAGTGTCCCATAGAGCACAGCCACAGCTGCCAGGTGGGAGCTGCAGGTGGATGCAGCCCGGCACAAGCCCACCTGTCCCACAGCCCCCAAGATGAGACCATAGGATGCCAGAATGGCCAGCAAGGTGATGCTCTGGATGGTGCCACAAATGGCCAGCAGCAGGGCCTGGTTAAGGCTGGTGTCAGCACAAGCCAGGGCCAGCACAGGTGGGATGTCACAGAAGAAGCTGTTGAGGATGCGGCTATGGCAGAGGGGCAGGCGGAAGGCCAGGCTGGTGTGCACGGCCCCACTGGCCACTCCCGCCATGTAAGAGCCCAGCACCATCCCCAGGCAGAGGCGGGGGGGGCAGGGCGCCCGGGGGGGGAGGGCGTAGCGATCGTAGGCCATGGCAGCCAGCAGGCAGCACTCCGCGTCCGCGGCAGCAGCAAAGAGGAACATTTGGAGAGCGCAGGCCAGGCTGGGAAGAGTGACCCAGCCAGCCATCAGGCCCTGCAGCATGACGGGACCCACGGTGCAGCAGGAGCAGAGGTCCAGCAGCGCCAGGTGGCTGAGGAAGTAGTACATGGGAGTGTGGAGCGAGCCCTCAGCCCGGATCAGAACCACCAGGCCCAAGTTTCCCATCAGGCCCAGTAGGACGACGGGCAATGCAAGAGAGAAGAGGAGCAGGCTTAGAGGAAATCAGTCACCGCCGTGTGGTTTAGCCCAGCCATGGGGGAGTGTGCAGATCTGTGGGGAGAGAGCATGGGTGAGAGCCTGCCCCTTTGCCAATTCCCCCTCCCCATGTGGGGTTGGCACCGCCCTCTCCTGGTGTCAAGGGTCTGGTGTTAGTGGAGAGCTGGCCTGGTAGAGCGACGCAGCTACCTCTAAGATGGGTAGTTCGGGAGCAGCTCCATATAATACCCCATGACAATGTCTCACTCGGTGCTGAGATGCAGCCACCTCTGGGGTGGGGCAGCTGGGGAACAGCCACACATGATGCCACAGGACAGCTCAGGGCATGAAGCAAAGACTAAGCCAACATCCAAGCACACGTTAGGGAGGGAATTAGCAGGAGAAAGGAAATTGGTGAGGAAAGCTGCGTTCATGGTAGTGATTTAAGTCTGCAGAGCTGTTGAGCTGGGGGAGCTGAAGGGGTCAGGGAGATAATAGCAGGGCCTGGAGGCAGCGTGGCCCCATGGCATGGGCAGGCAGCAGGACAGGAACTCAGGACTCCTGGCTTCTGTTCCTTCTGTGTGACTTCCTGCTGCTAGGTCTCCAGTGCCCCTGATGGATTTAGACTGGGAGCTCCCAGGGCAGGACCAGTTTTTCATTTTGTGTCAGGGCAACAGCTGGCGGGACAGGGCCCTGATTTCAGTCGAAGTCAGGACAGGGCTCAGCATGAGGGGGTCTGATCTGTGCAATGTCCCCCATCTCATCTGTAGCCTCCCAGTGGTACCATAATACACATCCTCACACTGTGTGTTGGGGACACAGCCCCCAGCCTGGCCCCCCGATGCGACAGGGACAGCTGGTGCGGGGTGGCTGACTGAGAGACCCACGGGCTGGGTGCGATTGAGGCTGCACAGCCAGAGCACAGCAGAGATAGGGACAGTGCAGACAGCTTTGGGAGATACCCCCTGCCTCCATCCCTCAACATGGATCCCTCCATCCCAGACTGAACTGCACCCAGAGTACCCTGTGGGGGTGGTAGAAGAGGAGCCCAGGCCTGAGAGAGGAGGGAAGGACTCACAGAAGGGGTTGGGGCTGAGAGGTGCTGATGGGGATGGAGCAACTTGAGGGGGAATCCCCGAGATAAGGAGGAATTAGAGAGGGGGACAGATAGAGAGAGAAGAAAAACTGCCTCCGCAGGGAGGGGTTGGGAGCCTTTATGGGCAAAGATTGGATGGATTCATGACTGAGAACCCAGGAATCCAGGCTCCCAACTCTGCCTCCCCCCCCACTGAAATCACTAGACCCCACCCCCCTCCCAGAGCCAGGGAGAGAACCCAGGCGTCCTGGCCCCACTGGCTAAGGCTGGGTCGCTCACTGAGCAGAGATGGGCTCAGGCAGCGTGAAGGTAACGAGTCTGTGCAAAGGGGACGTTCCTGGCCAGGATAATCCCGTGTCCCATCTCTGCCCCATGGCACCCACCCTACCTGGGCAGCAGCAGGGTCTGTGTCTCTCGGTGCTGGTGCCTGCTGCTTCCATCTGGGAGGCATCGGGGCTTTTATTTCCCCTTTCTCTGAGTCCCCCCAGCACCGACTCTCAGGGCTGCTGCCTGAATCAGTCCCCACTGAGCTCCCCAGGCCCTGCAGAGAGAGGAGCTTCCGGGCTTGCTCATTACCCCCGGCACCTGCCCAAAGGGACTCAGACGCAGGCAGTTAATTACATGGGAAATCAGGGGCCTGCAGAGGGACGGATACTGGGCCACAGATCCCCTCAGCCCTGTAAATCCTCCGAGTAACCAGTGTTTGAGCAGGGCCAGCCACGCACCTTCTGCCCCGTTGCCAAGCGCTTGGCCTCAAGGTGGCACTGGGGGTGTCGGCCATTTCCACCTTGCACTGCGTGAGGGTGACACCATCCCTGGTACTTCTGAGGCTGGGCTCCTGTGCTTCTTGGGATCCCCCTCTCCTCAGAGAACTGGGGAAAGAACCCAGGAGTTCTGGCTCTCGGTCCCCCGTCTCCAACGTTGACCCCCCCCCCACACACTCCACTCCCCTCTGCAAGCCTGGTTTTCACTGAGGTTAGAGGATGATTTCTCTGGTCTTGGAGGGACCCTGAAAACAGCTAAATAGAGCCCTGTTGCCTAGGGGTGGGGTTAATACCCAGTGGTTGAGCAGGAGACTTGTGAGGGGTGGGACTTCTGGGATCTAGCTGGGTCTGTGGGAGCTGGTGGGTTAAAGGGCTGGGAGGCAGGACTCCTGAGTTCTATCCACAGAACTGAGAGGAGAAAGGGGGATAGCGGGTTAGAGCAGGGATGGGCTGGGAGCCAGGACCCCTGGGTTCTCTCTATCCCTCTTGGTGAGGGAGTGGATCGATACTCCAGGGGGGCTCCTGTTGCCCCTGCAGTGACCCATATGCCTGCCTGATAATCCGATTTCCCTTCCAGACCTGAAAGAAAGCCTGCCCCCTACCAATTCTGCCTCCAGGCCCCTCCTCCAGCTGGGGATAGAGGAGGAGTGGTTGACGGTTTGGGCTGGAAGTTTGCGGTAATTAACCAGACGTTCACCCAATGCTCTCTCCAAGCTGTGACACATTTCCCGCTTCTCTGAGCCAGCCAGTCCCAGTGCAGTGGAAAAATTAGAGCCAATTCCCCCCAGAAGGGAAAGGCCCCATCCCATCCTCTGGCCCTTAGAACTAGACTCTCTCCAGTTATATTACCGCACAGGCAAAGCCATTGGGGATAATTGAAAAAGATTCTAAGCCCTGTTGCATTTTCACTCACCCACAAAAATATTGGAGTTTTCACATTTTTTAATTGTTTCATTTATTTACGTTTTCACAGTTGCAAGAGATTATGGAAGAGTTGGAAAGTAATTTCTTAATGACACTTGACATTGTGATTCAAAAGCCTATAGCCTGATAGTCATTGATCCACAAACTGTGGAAGTCACAAAGTGCAGCGCTATAGACAGACAGAGAGATGCACATTTCTAAAATATACAGTTAGAAAATACACAGCATGGTCCCAAAATTAGTGAACTCAACAAAATACACACTGCCCATCACTTCTAGAGGACACCTACAAGTGTGGTGGCAGAGTGGGATTGCTCTCCAAGAGCTTTCTGGCAGGTTGTGCCTTGCCTCACCGAACCTTCCCCCAGTAGCTGATCATGTCTGGTCTGGACTCATAGAGCCTTCAGTCACACCCGCCAGAGGGCTGGCACAGTCTAAGCAGTCACACTTGTGCTAGGTTAGGGATATGGCAAGGCTGAGAACTGTGTTATGTCCCTGACCAACCAAGCAGAGGGGGATAACTCCCTGCCCCTGGAACAGGCCATCACCAGGAGATGGTACCCCAGTGTGGCATTGTCACTCCAACCAAAACTATAACACTGACTTAGAAAAACTTTATTCCACAAGCACAATCCAGACGGCCCGATTAACAGTCACTGGCTTACAGTAGATCCCTCCCGGGTTCCTCTGTATAGCTAAAAATCCCATCAAATGGATGTTTACTGGAGTGAATTTTTCAGGACTCAGCAGCAAACACCTGGGGACCATTAAAAAAATGGCATGCCTTATGGCTTCCTGCCCAGTGGCTAAGCCGCCAACAGGGTTAGATGAGATTGTATCAAACCTTGCAGTGATAACCCAAGGTCCTAGCTACAATTCCCTCCCGGAGCTGTTGATTTTTCATTCATTCTCATGCCATTGCGAGTATCTGTCCTGACCTCAGGTATTGCTCAGGCCAGAGAACAGCCCCCAGAGAATTCCTAGCACAGATCTGTGAGATAAACCCATCCCCCCTCCATGGGCAGCAGTAGCCCCCAAAGCCACCACAGTGTTGGGACTCCTTAGGAAAGGGACTGATAATAATGTATAAATCTGTGGCATATCCACACCTTGACTAGTGCATGCAAACATGCTTGCCCTGCCTCACAACAGACATTTTGGAACTGGAGAAGCTGCAGAGAAGTAAAACAAAATGAGATTGAGGCATAGAACAACTTCTCTATGAGGACAGATTTATGAGACTGGGACTTTTCAGTTTGGAAAGCAACGACTCGGGGTGGGATATAGTAGACGTCTCTAAAATCATGACTGTTGCGGAGAAAGTAAATAAGGAAATGCCAGATCCAGCTTCTCATAACACAAGAACTAAGAGTGACCCAGCAAAAGTAGTAGGCAGCCCATTTAAAAGAACCTGAAGGCAGTGTTTCTTCACCCAAGGCAGAGTCAGCCTGTGGAACGCCTTGTTAGACGACGTTCTGAAGGTCAAGACCATTACCTATGGGGTGCCTGGTGTTGGGCACCTTCAGCAGAGAGCATCCTGGGAGGGAATGACCATTGGACTGACCCAGACTAACTGCTCTTATGTTCAGATCATTGAGTGTTCGGGTCGATGGGTACTGAGAACATTTATAGAACAGGCTTTGGGGCTGATCCCATATGGACATGCCCTTGAGAATATGCCTTAATTTACCCCTATTCCATGGAAAGATTTGGGCTGTGTGTACTTGTGTGTGTGTAGGTGGGCATAGAATCATAGAATACTAGGATTGGAAAGGGACTTGAGAGGTCATTGAGTCCAGTCCCCTGCCCTCACTGCAGGACCAAGTATGGACTAGACCTTCCCTGATAAACATTATCTAACCTACTCTTAAATATCTCCAGAGACGAAGATTCTGCCACTCCCTGGGCAATTTATTCCACTGTTTGACCACCGTGATGGTTAGGAACTTTTTCCTAATGTCCAACCTAAACCTCCCTTGCTGCAGTTTAAGCCCAGTGCTTCTTCTTCTATCCTCAGAGGCCAAGATGAACAAGTTTTCTCCCTCCTCCTCATGACACCCATTTAGATACCTGAAAACTGCTATCATGTCCCCCCCAATCTTCTCTTTTCTAAACTAAACAAACCCAATTCTTTCAGCCTTCCTTCATAGGTCATGTTCTCTAGACCTTTCATCATTCTCGTTGCTCTTCTCTGGGCCCTCTCCAATTTCTCCACATCCTTCTTGAAATGCGGTGCCCAGAACAGGACACAATACTCCAACTGAGGCCTAACCAGCGCAGAGTAGAGCAGCAGGCAACCAGCAGAGAGTCCGGTGACGTGAGATGAGACAGCTGGTGGAGCGTGGTGGAGTGTCGTAAAGTGCCCCCTATCTATCCTCCCACCCCCATTTCTACCCAGGTTGGGAAGTGAAACCCTGTGGGTGAACTTTGGGACTATGGGTGGCATGGACCAGGGACAGAGACTTTTGGGATGTCAGACTCTTTGGACTTCAGGTGATTCTTGGCTGGGAAGGGGGGGGTTTAGCTCATGTTTGTGTTATGAACTCTGTTTCTGGTGTTTTCCCCAAGTTAATGCCATATGACTTCTCTCTCTCTGTCTCATTAAATGTTTCTTTCCTACACTCAGACTCAGTTCTTGCAAGTGGGGAAGCATTGCCTCTCAGAGGCACCCAGGGGTGTGTGAATTTCCCAGATTACTGGGTGAGGGCTCGAGCCGGTTCTGTGTGAGATGGACCCCAAGATATTGAACCCGACAGAAGGGTTACATACCTTTACAGCAGGATTGTGAACCATTAATAACTACTCTTTGGCTGTGTCTACATTGGCAAGATTTTGCGCAAAAGCAGTAGCTTTTGCGCAAAATCTTGCCACCTGTCTACACTGGCATGGATGCTTTTGCGCAAAAGACGTCTTTTTGTAATGTACAAAATCAGTGGTTCTTGCGCAAATACTCCGACACTCCAACTCAGGGATAAGCCTTCTTGCGCAAGTATTCTTGTGCAAGAGGGCCAGTGTAGACAGACAAGTTAAATTCTTGTGCAAGAAAGCCCGATGGCTAAAATGGCCGTCGGAGCTTTCTTGCACAAGAGAGCATCTACATTGGCACGGATGCTTTTGCGCGAAATACTTTTAACAGAAAATTTTTTCTGTTAAAAGTATTTGCACAAAATCATGGCAGTCTAGACACAGCCTTTGAGTATGGTTAACCAGCCAATTATACACCCACCTTATAGTAGCCCCATCTAAGTTGTATTTGCCTAGTTTATTGATAAGAATATCATGCGAGACCGTGTCAAATGCCTTACTAAAGTCTAGGTTTACCACATCCACTGCTACTCCCTTATCCACCAGACTCGTTATCCTATCAAAGAAAGCTATCAGATTGGTTTGACATGATTTGTTCTTTACAAATCCATGCTGGCTGTTCCCTATCACCTTACTACCTTCCAAGCATTTACAGATGATTTCCTTAATTACTTGCTCGATTATCTTCCCTGGCACAGAAGTTAAACTAACTGGTCTGTAGTTTCCTGGGTTGTTCTTGTTTCCTTTCTAATAGATGGGCACTATATTTGCCCTTTTCCAGTCTTCTGAAATCTCTACCTATGCATTAGTTTCACCAGCCTCATGTCTGAGAGGAAAAGAACCCAGGTGTCCAGGAGAAGCTGAGGGGGCTCAAACATCTTGGGTATAAAGTCCATGCCCAGAGAAGCAATGGAGCCATGGGCTGAACTCACATGCCCCAAGCCAGAACCTGCCTCCCTGCTCTCCTTAGGGCTGTGGCCACATCCTTGTTCCTCAGACAGTAGATGATGGGGTTTAGGGTGGGCACCAACACTTTGTCCAAGAAGGTCACTTGCTGGTCATGGCCTTGGCTGTTACTGGAGTCTGGGTGGAAATAGAGCTGAATGTTAGCAACACCATGGTCAGGTGGGAGCTGCAGATGGAGAGGGCCTTGCGCAGGCCTTGGGCAGAGCGCAGGCAGGCCACAGCAACCCCAATGCGGACATAGGACACCATGATGAAGGCAAAAGGGAACCCCCACACCAAGACACCCTCAGTGTAGAGCATAAGCTCAATGGTGAGGGGCTGGGTGCACGAGAGGAGCAGGAGGGGTGGCAGGTCACAGAAGAAATGCTGTAGGCGATTGTCACAGTAGTGCAGATTGGCAGCCATGACTGTATACATCAGGGCATGTGGAATCACCACGGCCCATGAAGCAGCCACCATCTTGAGGCACAGGGACCGTGTCACCATGGCGGCATAGCGCAGCAGGTCGCAGACGGCCACGTAGCGGTCGTAGGCCATGGCAGCCAGCAGGTAGTTCTCCATGTAGCCCATGGAGAAGTACATGAAGAGCTGGGCCATGCAGCTGGTGAAAGAAATGGTCCGGTGCTGGGTCAGAGCGTGCACCAGGCACTGGGGCAGGGAGCCTTTTGAGTGCGAGAGGCCAGTTGTCAGGTTCCCCTCTCTCTTCTTTTGTCTAGGACAATCATGCCCCATTTTTCTAACCTGCCACAGCAGGATTTCTAAACTTTTTCCCTTTGTCTGTTCTCCCCAGACTCTCTCCCATTTGCCCACAGCTTGTCTGGACACACAGGTCCATGTGGGTATGTCTATACTACAGCACCAATTCGAACCAACTTAATTTGAATTAGTTAATTTGAACTAAGCTAATTCGAACTAGTGCATCTAGACCTAAAAACTAGTTTGAATTAGCGTTTTGCTAATTCAAACTAGCATGTCCACATTGAGTGGGCCCTGAACCAAGGTTAAGGATGGCCGGAAGCAGTGCCGGCAGGGCATCAGGTTAGGACTTAGAGAGTGGAGCTGCTGCCTCAGGCTAGCCAAGGGCTGTGCTTAAAGGGTCCCGACCTCCACCCTGGACAGACAGTTCTCAGGGATTCCCCGCTCGCTTGTCTAACTCGATGAGTGACAGCAAAGCAGTCCTGTCTTGGAGTGCCCTGAATGCCCACACTCGGCACATCTCAGCACTTGGCCATCAGCCTGGCTGCACTTGCCGCAGGCTGCCATCCGGGGGGAGGGTCAATCGGGGGCTGCAGGAGAGGAGCCCGCAGAGCCACCCAGTCCTCCCCATCGGGGGCTTGTACCCCATTCCTCCCTCACCTCCTTCCACTTACTCCTCCATAGCCCCCCTTCCTGATGTACAAAATAAAGGACATGTGGGAGACTGGGAAAAGGAGGTGGGAGAGGGGAAGAGAGAGGGTGGGAGAGGGGAGGGCAACTAAAATGATCAGGGGTTTGGAACAGGTCCCATATGAAGAGAGGCTAAACAGACTGCGACTTTTCAGCTTAGAAAAGAGGAGATGGAGGGGGGATATGATAGAGGTCTATAAAAGCACGAGTGGTGTGGAGAGGGTGCATAAAGAAAAGTTCTTCATTAGTTCCCATAATAGAAGGACTAGAGGGCACCAAATGAAATGAATGGGTAGCAGACTTCAAACTAATAACGGAAAGTTCTTCTTCACAAAGCAAATAGTCAACCTGTGGAACCCCTTGCTGCAGGAGGCTGTGAAGGCTAGAACTATAACAGAGTTTAAAGAGAAGTTAGATAAATTCATGGAGGCTGGGTCCATCGAGTGCTATTAGCCAGGGAATAGAAATGGTGTCCCTTGCCTCTGTTTTGGAAGGCTGGAGATGGATGGCACAAGACAAATGGCTTGGTCATTGTCTTCGGTCCATCCCTTCCGGGGTAGCTGGTGTTGGCCACTGTCGGCAGACAGGCTACTGGGCTAGATGGACCTTTGGTCTGACCCAGTATGGCCGTTCTAAGCTCAGGGTCAGGGGTCTCACTGGACCACCTTGAGTTTCATGCACAACCTCTCCTGGGTGGCCAGGCTGGCAGCTATCCTGCC